TCTATTCTTTTGTTGGTTAAAATACCTGCTAGGTTCAGAAATTCTATCTATCCTCATTTATCTCGGCAGCTTACCATTGTATTTATTTCATTGATTAAGTATTTTGCACCAAGGTTTCTGATTGGTTCTATTTTATGATTTTTTTATATCCTTGGAAAAATTTTTTGTTATGCTCTGAAACTATTTTCCTCATTGCCTTGTATTTTTTTAAGTCTGGATTCTCATGCATTTCCTAGGAATCCCCATTTTGAGTTGTTTTTAAGCATATCATAGATTATGTATTCTTTTCCTTTGGAGTTCTGTTTCATTTTTCTTGGTCTGTACATCTGGTGGAATATTCTCATTTTATGAAGTATCTACTATAACAATTTATTTTCATTCATTGGCCTATCATTCAGATGGAATACTACATTTCAGTTAAGTTAGATGCTTTTGAATTTGATTATAGAGCTGGAAAGTGTAGTCACTGTAGATTCGTCTTGCAATGATGTCCCTGCTCTCAGTGGTGAAGGCAATTATATGACTCCAGAGACAGTGTCCCCAGATTTTAGTCTAGCATTGATGGTACTGGAACTTGTGGAGATGACAGTCCCAAAGTGCCTCAGAATAAGCACAGTAGACTGAAAGTTGTGTGACAGCAGCCACTATCTTCAAACCACAAAATGTGAAAGAAATTCTGGGGATGAACATGGGAGGTGCCTGGGCTTGTGGCAGCAGCTACTCAGTCTGGAGCCACCAGACAGGATGGACCTTCTTTGGGTAGACAGTACACTATTTTAAAATTTTTATTTTATTAATTACACTTTATTCACTTTGTATCCCCCCATAAGCCCCTTCTTCCTCCCCTCCCGGCCCCACCCTCCCTCCCCCTTCTTCACGCATGCCCCTCCCCAAGTCCACTGATAGGGGAGGTCCCCCTCTCCTTCCTTCTGATCTTAGTCTATCAAATCTCATCAGGAGTGGCTGCATTGTCGCCTTCTGTGGCCTGGTAAGGTTGCTCCCCCCTCAGGGGGAGGTGATCAAAGAGCAGGCCAATCATATTATCTCAGAGGCAGTCCCTCTTCCCATTACTATGTAACCCACGTGGACACTAAACTGCCATGGGCCATATCTGTGCAAGGGTTCTAGGTTATCTCCATGCCTGGTACTTGGTTGGAGTATGAGTCTCTGGGAAGACCCCTGTGTTCAAATTTTCTGGTTCTGTTGCTCTCCTTGTGGGGTTCCTGTCCTCTCCAGATCTTACTATTTCCCACTTCTTACATAAGATTCCATGCACTCTGCCCAACAGTTGGCCATAAGGGACAGTACACTTTTAAACCATGTTCTCCTTAGCAGGGTTCATATATTCAATATTTTCAGTAGTGTTCTTTGTAGTAAAGCCACTTATGAAACCCATTAAGTATAAATTGAGCTAGTTTCACCTGTAAGGTGTCTTATTGCAATTCAGTTTTCAGTCCAGGAAATTTACTCTATTGTTAAATATCTCTAAGGTTTGTAGGTCATCTTTGTTCTGAGTCCAAGGCCATAATAAGTAGTGTCAAAAGATGTATTCCCCTTGATCTGGTTATAGCCTGGCTGCACAAACCTTTAATGGTAGGTAGTAATTTCTGTGCTGTTTAAATCTGTAATGAGTAAATTTATCACTATTGTTCTGAGCCGTGGCTGTTTCCTTTCTCTGGCAGAGAACACCATGGGAATGCTATGCAGCCTTCTGTCAAGGATAACAGTGGCAGTCATGGCTCTCCCATCAGTGGAAAGTTGGAAGGCATCTTCTTCAGCTGCAGCACCGAGTTCAACACAGGCAAGCCACCACAGGATTCACCGTATGGAAGATACAGGTTTGAGATTGCAGCAGAAAAACTTTTCAACCCCAATACTAACTTATACTTTGGGGACTTCTACTGTATGTACACTGCTTATCATTATGTGATTCTTGTCATTGCCCCTGTGGGATCACCAGGAGATGAATTTTGTAAGCAGCGCCTTCCTCAACTAAATTCCAAGGATAATAAGTTTTTGACCTGTACAGAAGAAGATGGGGTGCTGGTGTACCACCACGCCCAGGATGTCATTTTAGAAGTCATTTACACTGACCCCGTGGCTCTTTCCCTGGGCACCGTGGCAGAAATCACTGGTCATCAGCTCATGAGTTTGTCTACTGCAAATGCAAAGAAAGACCCCAGCTGCAAAACCTGTAACATCAGTGTCGGACGTTAACACTACTTTCGTACTCTCTCCCACCCTGTCCACCCATAGGAGCATTACCCTCTGTCGTTCCTTTTCATCACCAGATGTTCCCACTGAAGCATGCCTATGCCGCTGTCACCAAAAGCAAACTACATCATGCAGAGCCTTTCCGTGTCTCCTCTGGCCCACCCTTGTCTACCTTTTCCAATGATGTCCCCAAGTTGTCCTGACACTTTGTTTGCCTAGATGCTGCAATGCTTTTATGTTTCCTTTATGCCAAACATAACAAGACAGTTATATAGACCGCTTTAGCAAAGTACAAAATAATGGCTTATAAATGGTGTTTAAATATGCATCCATTTTAATCTACTGAATAAATATTGGGATAACTCCAAACCGCATGAAAGGGTGTAATTGCAGCATGAGTTAAACCTTAAAAGCCTAGAATTGTCAGCACTTCCACCTTGTTGTTTGACAGTGTTATTTATGTTATTTATATTAGCTAACAGGAAACAGTTACTGTGCTTCAACATAATAAATATAATAGAAAAATATTTTATTTGTATGTTGTATAAAATATTTACAATCATATAGAATATAGTTACATTTTAATAGCAATTGTATACATCTCACGAAACCATTTCCCTTATCAAAGATGTAATTTGTAAACCTCAAATAGTTGTGTATCTGTCCTGTTACAAGTAGATGACTTCAATTAAACAAATTTATGAAGGCCATTACTCTGATTCATAAAAGGTTTAAAACATCAGGTGAATACAGAGAAAACAATATGCCTCTGATATATACTCTGCTTCTGGAATCAGTATTTTTTTTTTCCTTCTGCCCAAGCAGTATGAAAATCTGAATTTCTCCAACACCATACTTAAACATTACAGAAAACAGAAATATGAACAAAGTTGATAATGAGAAAATGTCTGTTACTTGATTTTACAAAAACCAAGACCAATAAATGTGTTTTTAAATGAATGGAGAAAAAGCAAGATACACTAAATAAAGCAAATAAAAGGTTTCTTGGTGATTTCCAAGCTTTTTGCCCTGTACAGAATGAATGCAGCTCACAAGAAAGCTATTTCACTTTATAAAGTACAGACCTTGGAACATTAAGAAAGATGCATATTCCCAATGGAAAAATAGTTATATAATCTTAATATAGGAAACAAGAAAATCAGCAATAATACTATAGTCACATTAGGTTATTACTGCAGACACGTCTATCCAAAATACCTATTTTAATATTTTATTTTAATATAAACATTTGTCAATTATAGACAAAGATAACTCACAAAGCACATGCCATTCAAACGAACTTTGGTAACCAGAAATGTAAATTTTCAAATAACAGCTAAAATAATGCACTATTTTAAAATAGATAATAGGAAATTCTCAGTGACACAGTTGAGTGTGTTTTAGAGTGCTGAACACATACAGACGTACACGACAAGAGTGTGGATGTTGTCTCAAATTACCTTTCTAGCTGTTTTCCTCCTTGGATGATGAACAGAATTTTTCCTTGACTCACCAATTTATTTAAACTACACCTTTTCCAAACATCAGTAAAATCAGTTTTGGGGCACTAATAAACTTTCCCAAGTAGGTAGTCTGCCTATGTGTTATTTTAGGTTTGACAAGATATCAGCTGTTTTTTTTAAATAATTGTATTTGACAATGGATTTCAGTCTAGCGTGGAGGCTGAATGTTTTTGACGACCCCAGTATTATCTATTGTTTCCATATTCAAATGCCTTATTGTGTATAATTATAAGAGCTCATCCTTCATAAAACAAACAAACAAAAACAGCTAATACTATCTCTAAAGTGCTTCCATTTTCAGTTAATCAAAACTACTTAGTAAGAACAGTCGAGGAAAATAAACTTGACTTTATCCTAGGTGGAAGTGATCAGAGCTGAACTTCAAATAGTTTTGGCCACATCCTGCTTGCTGATGAGGACCTCTAATAGTCTCAGTTTGGCTTTTATGTGCTTGTATTCATAGTACTCGTCTGCCATTGGCATCCTGTCTTCCTTCTGTGGGCTTCTGCAGAAAGGAAGATAAAATCTATTAGTTGATTTATGAGCCAGGTCATTAAAGGTCCTTTTATAACTGACAGAGGCCTGAGGGCTTCCATTTGGCTATTTTTTTTTTTGTCTTCTTTATGTCCTTTTTGCCTCACTCCATCTCTACCCTATTTCTTTAAGCAATAGTACAATGTGTTTTGCAAATATGAGAACCCATATTCAAGCACAAAACAATGGTGCAGGTGAAAAGATGTGAAGAAAAAGCAAAGGCTAGAGCATCTAAAGCATCTCTTTTCTACTCATCCTCTTACTTTCTGTAGTTCCATGATTGTGAAGAATGCTCAGCCTTTACAATGAAAGCTGTTAAAAAATAGTATCCTGAAAATACTGCAAGATATTTGATTACACAAGTAATCCATAAATTCACAGTGACAGAAACTTCCCAGGGGCTTCCTTGTAAGCTTGAAATGTTTCTAAGTTTCCTTGTAGTTACACCTGTCTCTGTTGTTGTGTACCAGAACTTCTGAGCCTTTTCTTGACAGAAGTAATCCACGAGTCTAAATAGTCTCAATCAGGCACCAGCGAAATGGCCCAGTGGGTAAAGGTACCTGCTACCAAACCTGATAACCCGAGCTCCATCCTTAGGACCCACATGATAAAAAGAGACAACCGATCCCCAAGATGTCCTCTGGCCTCCATGCATATTAACACATACACAGTTTTAATTGCAACAGCAGCTCTCTTGCTGTGCTCTCTTGCACAGTAATTACAAGATTGGCATGTACTAAAGTATAAGCCTTGGTACATGCACAATCTGGGTGTTCTTGTTCTACTACCATGTTTACGGTGTCTCTAAATGTATAGGAAATCCATTCCCATGGTTATTTTAGCTTTATAGTTGGGTTGAATGTAAGCAGCAAATTGTCTTAGGGAAAGCAAGGTAACAGTCTATTTTCTTGCCATTGGACAGTTTGAATTTAGCTTTAATAAAGAGCATTTTCTTATTTAGATGACATGTTAGAGCATATAACATCACATAGAGCAAACAAAGACATAGCTCGAATAGATTTAGGTAGTGTAAGTACAACAGAACAACCTGTTCCTTGACTGCAGTAAGTCAGGAATAATTTGGAATCATATTCTCCTGCATCTTCATTCTTAGATAGATATATACTGTTGTGTAGATTTTTATATATACACAATCAATGACTATTACCAAGAACAGGCAGAACAATTAAGCCACTGCTGTTGCCAAAAGGCATGTCAAATAATACTGATAGATGCCATAGGCAGGACTCGGTACACTGAAACCTCTCTAGTGTAGACTCCTGTGTTTGAATGGGTAAAAATGCAAATTTCTTCAGGAAACTCAAGGTGATGAAAAGACTGTGTGTATGTCTTAACCCTGATTAACTCAATTTTTCATGCAACAACTATTTAAATTCAAAATCCTGAAACCATCTCAAATATTTCACTGAATGAAAAACTCTCACTGAATAATTTTAAAGAGGAACTTTAATGCAAGTCTGATGTGTAAGCAAAGCACCTGGGAGCCTATGACCTCACCGAGCCACAGTTTCTCACCTGGTGAGCCTATTGTTAATGGAGAGCAAAACAGAAAAGCTACCAAGGACTATGAAGCAAGCACGCTGAGCATGGATGTCTCAGGGTGCTTTAGCGCTGCCCCACTCCCTTATAGCAGCCTATGGGCTAAGAGAAAATGACAGCAAGGCAAGAAAGAAAGGCAGCGTGTTAGTAATAAGAACCTGAGCTTATCTTGCCATTTAGAAGCTTTGTGATTTTGGGAAAGTTGCAGCAGTGCTTGCAAGAGTGTCCAACCGTTACACAATGAGGTTATCTACAAGCTCAGGCTAAAGACCACACAATCTAGCTTTTAAAAATTGAAAAAAAATATATAAATTTATCTTTTTGTTGTTGCTGGGACATTTGCATTGCAATCTTCTGGCAGTTGTGGCAGACTGGAAACACTGCGAGGGTGTGTGTGTGTGTGTGTGTGTGTGTGTGTGTCAGGAGGTGTTTAAGGCCAATGTCCCCAGGCCAGGCATGGTAGTGTTGGTGTATGCCTTTAGTCCCAGCACTCAGGAAGCAGAGGCAGAGATAGGCAAATCTCTGTGACTTAGAAGCCAGCCTGGTCTACATAAGCAAGTCCAGGACAGCCAGAGCTTTGTTACACAGAGAAACCCTGTCTCAAAAAAAACCTGAAAAACCAAAACTAGAGAGAGAGAAAAAAAAAGAAAAGAAAAAAGAAAGAAAAGAAAACTAATGTCTTATATCACAGTCACAGCTTTCCAACATCCCAGGAGACAAAACATTTCATAGCTTTTTGGTGTAAACAGAGATTGAGGACAGCTAAGTAATTTGTCTCTTCTCCAAAAGACACTAACATTCATTACCTGATTTATATATAGAGATTTGTTGCTAACAATAAAAATTACACTAAATTAATGAGTGTATAGTAACAGCTGGGATGAGAGACAAAACTATAGGAAGACAGATGGTCCAACTAAATACCTGAGAGAGAAAAATATCTATGAACTTTTTGACTAAACCCTAGAATAAAAAACAAGGATAGATGTGAAGTTTAGAGAAGATAGTTAGGAAAGCATTCATGTAATAGGTAAAGAATAAATTGTGGAACTAAGACTCAAAGAACAAGGGCTGAAAAATAAAATTTTAAGAAGCCTAGACAAGTTCATCATATTGTGTTGAAATGCACATATCAAACATTTTCAGAGTTCAGTTTTCATTTTGTAAAGGCTAATGTTAAACCTGACAGCTGTTATCATGAACATTCCATAAAACATCGGGGTATTGCATTGGAGAAAGCACAATCTTCAGCTAGAATTTACATCTTACCACTGTTCCTACCAGAGCAGAGTTCATTCTGAACTATAATTCTTTAGGAAATATCAGCATTAAAAAATCCTTTTCTGCTCACACTTACCTTCCCGTCTGTTTAAAAAATTGTTCTTCAAATTCTCGCAGGGCTTTCCGTAGCCTCTTCTTATCAGCCCTAGTTTCTCGGAGATGGTCAAGAAGGACTGGCCTGTATCAGGTGAGACACATTTGGCATCATTAAGCACTGGCCTGACTGAATGATCATGCCTGCATTATATCAGGTCAGCAAAATGGGCACATTATATGACTGAAATGGAAGAATTTCTGAGTAACTGTGGCACACACTGTAAATGTGGCCTTGGTGTAGGAGCAGCACATAAGCCTGGTGTTACCCTAACATTAACAGTGTCATGGGCAAAGGGTAAGGGCAGTGTACTGAACTGCCATAAGAAATGGTGATGTCATGGTGCTATAACAAGATGTCAGGAGGGAGCAGGCATGTGAGGAATACATAGCAATGTTTGTTGACAATAAGAGACACAAGGAAAAATATGTCCTCAGAATGTGGGGAGAAGGACAAAACCCTTGTGGAATAAAACTGAACCAGGGAAGTGATGACATTCCACTGCAGTCTACTTCATGGTAGAATCAGTCTATGCTTCCATAGACTGAATACTAAAGTTATATATAGGCATTTGTACACGCCAAGTCTATTGATTTCAAAAATACCCCCATCTACACAAATTTAGGCAAGACTTCTTTACAGTGACTACTCAGTGGTTGGGGAGAATAGAAGAAAAAAGAAAGATATGTTCTGTTTTCCCAGAAACCTAAATATTGCACTGTCTTTGGTTTTGCCTCATTTCCATTTGGGAGACACATTAAGAAGACTATATAATGCATATTAAAGACCTCACAGTGTGGGCTGTTATCACATGATCAAGAGGTATGCCAACTACTGAATGATGATGATGATGATGATGATGATGATGATGATGATGAAAGTCTAGACAGTTCTTAACTGAGGAGTCATTACGAGACAAAGACCAACTCATTGACTGGTGGCCAGTGTGATTACCCATCTGGAATACTATGTCATCTGAATGTAATAAAGGAAGAAAAGAAAAGGAAAGAAAAGAAAGGCTCTTGCCATTATTGATCCACTATAAATTTTACTCCTTTGGGTCCAATATTTCAAAAGCCAGCTTTCCTCTTACTCTGCTAAGGACTACAAGGGTTACGAATAACAGAACACAACTGAAAAGGAGGAGCCAAGTAAATTGCACATCAATACTTAATGACATATATAGGACTTCACTGTGGCTCTTCTATATTTTCCAGTTAAGAAGCCAACTGGATTGTACTTTTTGGGGTCTATTCTCTGCTAGAGAGCAACACTTTTGACTCTGAAGTGATATTGAATTTTTAACGTACAAGTAAGGTACCCAAGCCAGGAGTTTTGAGAGCCCATACTCAGGCTGCTCACTCACATGGTGGCCTCGTGTAAGTTGGACATGGAGAGAGCTGGTTGCTTCCCTTCTTTCTTTTCATCTGGTAGCAGGGTCCTTATAGGCTCTGTCTCAGGATAGGTGAGGTGATCACTGACAGGAAGGCGGGACACTGGAGCTGGTAAAGAAGGTTGTTGGCTTCTCTGTGGACAGTCTTCATCAGAGTCCTCTTCCTCCTGCTTGTCACAAGCAGAGTCAAATAGTCACAGAGTGCTACATGTCCCTTGAGCATTCGAGAGGACTGCAAGATCCTAAAACTCAGTAGACACCCGTAGCCCACACAGCTGCTGAGAACCAGAATGGAAACTACCAAGAGCCCTTTGTCAGTTTCATTAAAAACCTGCAGGAGTCAGTGCGAAAAGAGCATCCATGCCAGGCTACAGTGCTTCTCAAGTTTACCTATATTCCCTGAGCCAAGGAAGATAGATATTTGGGACCTGGACTAGGTTGAACTGTACACCAGGTGGGTCACCCTTTCCCCAGACCCTCTGCACTCTAGCTTCACAGCAGTGATACGGGTTAGGGCAAAATGTTCTACAGACATCTTATTCAAAAAGTGTCCCACTCAGACACAGAACAGGCTGCAGTCAATATAGATGATGTTAAGTGACAAGTTCAGAAGTTCAGTGACAAGTTTAGAATGCCAAAGAAGCAGTGACTATTCTTTATCCTTTCCAGTAAAATTATGAGAGCCAAAATATTTTCTTCAACCTTGAAAGGCATATTCCCATTTAAACTATTCTTCCTTCTCAAAGGAACATTTTAGACAATTTTATCATTCTCCTAACAGTCTTTAAATTACAGAATTATACTCAAGTAGATTTAAATTCCTATTTGTTAACATTTGCTGCTTTTTATATTGATAGCTGTTTTGAAACTGATGAAGTGAATGTGTCATGCTTTCCCAGTTCTGTCTGCCTTTAAAGCTGTTTTAAGAAAACAACTGAGCCTAACTCAGTTTTAGTACTTTTTATTGACATGAATTTATTTATATCTAGAATAATGTGATCAGATGGGATCAAAACAATGTTTCAGTATCTCGAAGAATGCATTACCAGTTTTATTAACCACCACACACAGAACAGCAGAGAGGTTCTGTCTTGTCTAGCTGTGTTAAAAATTAGACAATGCCACAGTGAAACCTATTTTGTCTTTTCCTTGCCCAAGAGGAGGGTAAAGAAATGGAATCAAACTTTAAGAGTGGCCCCAAGCGTGGAAGTTTGGTCTGTTCTGTTTCATAGCAGTTTGTTAGGCATCACTGTTAGGCACAGTACTGGGGTAGGGAAGACCACAGTAGCTGCTGGGATCATAGTATACACAGCTAGGAAGGCCACTTGGTAACATTCATGGTGCTGACTATGACATGGCACTAAATAGCATTGATGCTAGGTGCTAGTCAAGGTTTCCAGTTAGGGCCGCCATCTTTACTTACAATTGTAGGGATAAGGGATGGTGTTGACAAAATTTGCTTGATAATTCTGCATCGGTCATAAAGAGGTTTTATAAGGTTCTTGTCTTGCTTAGCTACCTGCAAAAAAATAAAATTAATTTTTTTTCAGACAATAGTCTCCTTACACCCACCTCATGTTAGGAATCCATCCCAGAACCCATACAAGATTGACAAGTACTCTGTCACAGACCTATTACCCATTCCCTAAGGCAATGTTCCAGCAGGCAAAAATAACAACAGGTAATGTTTGAAGCCTCAGAGGATCATAACACTTTAATGCAACAGCAATCAATAAAAAGGAAGTCGAAAGATGGTGTCTGTTGCACATCATTTTTTTTCCTAGGAAACCCATAAAGGATAAGAGCGAGTAGAGAATAGGACCATAAGGCTTTGTGGACAAGTCTGCAAAACATGAATAGTATTAAGTCTCTATTTTATTTTTAAGTGGCTAATCAAGATCAATCACTTTTTCTTCTGAACCTCTGTGACCATTCACAAACACCAGCTCTATACAGGCCTCCGTTATTAGACATATAGATTATGTACTGCCTTACTAGTTCATTCCATATAAACTTTAGTTACTTGGGACAAAACATTTGACTTTTGAATCCTCAATTTCCTACCCATATAACAAGGGGGTGGGAGTTTCAGAGTTCCTTCCAGGTTATTCCAAACATAGACAGGTATTTCTACTGACTTGCTAAAGTTCCAACCAAAACAATTCCCAACCTCTTAGTATACTCGCATTCGGTACCCATCTGCTGCGTGACTCATCCCTACGCACCATTGTTAGCAGGTGACATTATACATAAAAGTTCATTGTGTCTTGTCTGTTTATCCACATGTCTATCCAAAATAGCCAAACCTCTCTTCTTCCTTGGGCCCCCATATATTCACATACTATCTCATACATGAGTTTGCTATATACTCATTACACACACACAGCTGTCCCTCTATTCTCAACCCATTGTTTATTCTCATCAGGGCAAGGTATATAGTCACCCACATGCCTTTTATGGAAGCACACACAGTAGAATGCTAACTAGCTCCACCTGACAGATTTTCCAGAGATTTGAGACAAAGAAAATAGCTCCCCAGTGATACTTATGATGCTCCATCCCCATGGGCTTCACAAGCCACACTGGTCCATGTTGCTTTCCATTTTCTATTTCACTATCTGGACCTTAGCTTCTGTTTCATTTCTTACCTGCCCAAATATAAGTTTACTGAGGCCTCAAATACCACCACATATTTCTTTAACTTCTTACCACTATCTACCACATTCCTATTCTGATTATTAAGAAGTTCATAGGTAAAAACTCTAACTTTTAGTAATCTCCATATGTGTGGGGGGGGGGCTTGAACTAACAGAGATCTACTTTCCTCTGTCCCCTTGGTGGTGGGATTAAAGACTTGCACCACCACTGCCCAGCTATATATGATGTGGATATATAGACACAAACTCCAGGCTATAATCTAAGATACATGTGTATTTTCAGGAGAAAGATAATTTGCTGTAGAAGCCTTTTAGTTTTGGTTCATAACCTTAAGAGCCTTTAATTTTCTAGCCAAATTCACTCTTTAAGCATTTTCTTAATATCTTTACACACACATATACACACAAATCCTGCCAATATGTAGTCCATGGGATTTTAATACATTTTAAGAGGGAGACTATAAATGTAACTTCAGAAAACAATGAAATCCTTTTTTTGTGTTTGTTTCCCTTCAGTACCTCACTGAGACTTTAATTCTATAGAAAGCACTTACAAAACAATGGACTTAAAACATTGGTCTATTTTTTGGTTGTGGCTTTTCTACCTAGTATAGTCCTTCCCTACTCCCTCAGATTCTAGGAGAATCCTAAAAGGGAATAGAGATCAGGACATCTGCTGCAAGATTGTGTCTTCTAGACATAACATGGAGGCTATACCCATGAAATCTCAACATTATGGCTGCCTAGACAAGACCGGAACAATGATGACACTAGTTGTTATGCCAACATGGACAGGGGAAATCTCACAGGGCATCACACCAACATAGAGCTACAGGCAGTTAACAAATATTGAGAGAGGGAGAATTAGTCTTCGTAGGGATGACCCCCCTAATTGGCCAAGTGGTCAGTCCTAAAAACATGCAAATGAGCAACACCAAATGGACTTGGCACTGTACTTACATATTTGTTCATGTGTGTGTTAAAGAAAAAGAAGCTATGAGTTTTCGAGGGAGCGGGAGAGAGACTGGGACAGCATGGGAGGAGTTGGTGATGAGAGAAATGATGAAACTGCAGTTTAATTAGAAATTAAAAAAATTAAAAATACACAAATGCAAACAAACTTTTAAAAAGCAATTAAAAAATTAATGAGAATGCTACTTAGAAAGTTATCTTCCCCAGGCACTAGATGAAAATTGAAGTGCACATACACTGAAACCAAGTCCTCTCAATGCTAATGATTTTACTCCTCGGATCATTACTGACTAATCTCCCAATGGAAAGGAGCATGTGATGCCAGCCCACATGTGGGTCTCAGACACAGAGCAGTATTGACAGGTTTGATTCCTAAAACTAAAAGTTTCCTGTCCCTTCCTATATAGAGAGGAAAACATCAGTTTTGCGTCTCTCCTTGAGAGAAAGCTCAAGGATAAGTAGAGGGCATGATTATATTTAAAAGTTCCTGTGCTTTTCTGAGAAAGAGGCTAGGACAACAGTTCCACGGGGTAAGGAAAACAAACACATGGATAAATCTGCTAGAGTTACAGCAGCTTTTTCCTAAATAACCTCCTGACCAGGACCAGAAAGAAAACATCTGGGCTGGCCACTTTGCGGCAGTTTGGAATGGCAGCTTCTCTTCAGGATGCAATGCCAGGACCTAAGAATGTGAACCGCAAGGGAAGTAAAGAATTTTCAGCATGGCAGAGTAAGCAGGGTGCCAACAAGTATTGCCAAATCATGTTTGCTTGGAGTTCTCTCTTAACCTCCTCTTCCATTTACTCCTGATACTACAACAGAAGGGTGAGGGGCAATAACTACCTTTGGGGATTTATCTGTACATACTGGCCTGGAAAATGACACCCATTACCCTGGAAAGCTCTCTCTGGCTATTTTATGCGGACAATGGAAGCTATTAGTAAGCCAATTTTTTATTCAATGAGGTTCTCTTTGCACAGAACAAAAATCAAAAGGTAACATTAGTAGAAACAGAAAATAGATTTGTTTCTAACGATTAGCTCTTTTTAAAAAATCCCTACATAAAAGGAGGAGAAAATGACTGAATCACAATATCTAAACACTGTAAGGCCACTGTAAGGCAGTGGTTCTCAACTAATGCCTAATACCCTTTAGTACAGTTCCTCATGTTGTGGTGACACCAACCATAAAGGATTGCTGTGCCATAACTGTAAATTTACTACTGTTATGAACCATAATGTAAATAAATATCTGATATACAGGATATCCAATATGTAATCCCAAAAGGGCCATGACCCATAGGGTGAGAACAGCTGTTTTGGGGTTTATGGTACGAGCTCTGTAGAGTAGGTTTCAGTATGAGCACCAATGCAAGATATTCCCTAAAAGTCTGGGGGGAAATAAAATCACTTGCTGTGGAAATTTTTATAGCTAATGCGATTTAGGAGCATGGCAAGAAGGCCAGATGAAGTCATCCATCTGCTCAGGCCTGAAGAGACTGCGCTTAACTAGATGAACTGACATGCCACACCTTGTTGAAAAGGCAAGAAACAGGCTAGATGCAATAGTCTTGTTTCCTTGAGTTTTGCCATGGCCTCTGAACTTCCTCTTGGTACCCACCCCATGGCTCCCTATGGTTCCCGGTGTTGCACTTCTCTGGAGCAGTAATGAGATGTGCCATCAAAGCCTGCACATCTCACTCCAGACAGCCCCTATCAAAAAGGCCCAGCTCTAGTGTAAAGCTCCCAGGTCTATTTGAAGAGGCTTCTGACACTCAGTAAGCCTCTCAATAGATACTGTGTTTGATAGAAGATTTTCTGCCGTTTATGCAGAATTTCTGCACGGATGACTTCTTTGACTTCTAAGTACCGAGGTTCTTCTGCAGACTTATTTCACTCTTGTCTCAGAAGGCCAGCTGACCATCCCAGCTTTCCCAGGACTGACAATGAAAGCCCTGTGCAAACTAGGAGGGTTGGTGGCCCAGTTCCTCAAAGCTCTTAAACTTGATGGGCCCTGCGTATGTTACCTCTTAACATTGTCATCTTTGCTCCAAAATCTGCCTCTTCACATAGTTCTGATATGTCAGTAAGCTGACTTGTCTCTATGGATTTCTTCTTTCTGCCCTGTAAGGCAGTGGCTCTCAACCTGTGGGTCAGACCCCTTTGGCGGTCGCATATCAAATATTTTCCATATCATATATTTATACCTCGATTCATAACAGTAGCAAAATTACAGTTTTGAAGTAGCAATGGAAATAATTTATGGTTGGGGTCACCATAACATGAAAAACTATATTAAAGGGTCACAGTATTAGGAAGGTTAAGAACCACTGGTCTAAGGCTTCAACATGCGCTTTTGTTCCAACTAAAATATCCTTTGAGTATGTTGTCTTTCTACTAATGTCACTGTATTGATCAAGCCGCCCATTCCATCATCTCATTTGCCCTGATTCACACAGCAATCTGATCTTTTAAATGTTTATCACCTCACACTAGTTTTCTGTTACCACTCGGCCACCCCTTACTCCACTTTACAGCCTGAAAGGTCCAGCATCGTTCCACTTGTCACAGCTTTTCTGATTGTATCTCATGTTGCCTCATATCTCAGCCCTCAGTCCTGAGATGCTTGTGTATACCAAAAAGTTCTTCCCTCTTTTACCCCTTAGTGTTTGGGAGTTCTATCTAGAATGTTCTTTGCTGCTTTTTTGGCCTGCCCAGTTCCTTGATTAAATGCCAACTTTGGCCTTTTAATAATCCTATTCAAGAAAGACTGTTTCTTTTGTGTTCTGACATTCATCTACTTTGTTCTGTGCATAGTACTTACCAAAATCCTTGTCTATTTAAACTGCTTCTTATATCCCAACTCTCAGCAGAGTGAGAGTCCAGGAGAGCAGTGCTCATATGACTCCTCTATCTTGATTTACCCAAACTCATATAACAAACATTTGAATCCTTTTGGAGA